ATACTGTTTCCCTTTGCCTTCTCCACAGTTTGGAATTCAAAGCTTTCCATCTCTTAAAATAGTTGTCGCCCTGGGGCTAGAGGGATCAGTCTACTTTAATCCATAGCTGATGAGAATAAGAACTGACTCATACATTTCTCAATAGCATTTGTGCGATAGTGAATGCAACAGACTAGCCCGTAATTTAAACACTATTCAACAGTTCTGCTCTCTGTGCCATTATCCGCTACACTAACCGTAGATTCAGCAGTTAGAGATCATGAAATCAGAGCACAAATCGATTTTTATAAATTTGAAAAATAAAAACTGCTCTCATTTCACTAATGTGTTCTTGACAATATAGATGCCAACCGTAAAAAGGTTAATTTGATTGCTAATTTATCTGTTTGTTTTACTAACATATTCTGTTTCTTCTTTAATAAACAGATAATTGTGCTCCTCTAATAGATGTTCAGTTTAAAATCATATTTCATTAATTAAAGCCAGCGTTGCAGACACGTGAGTAATCAGCACATGCCCAAGGTTTGAAGAAGAATTTGACACTATAAGTGAATCTCTAATTCGCACAGCCACAAATTTTCAATACTCAAATCAAGGCCACTGTTTCTGGTGCGGATATCTCCTTCCACGAGTTTTAAATAAGACAACTGCTTAACAAAAAATCATTACTCTTACGTACCTAATACAAGGGCGGCCATATAAATGATAGGAGCCTCAGAATATTTCTCGATCTCTAATAAACGGGCGTGGGTAATAAAAGGGTCAAAAAGTACAAAATTGATAAATTAATCAGCTCCGTCTATTAGCCACCTAAAAGTAATTAGTGTTGAAATAATATTTTTTTAAATAATTGCTGCGACGTAGCAAGTTAAATTACTCTGACATTTTAGTATAGAACCTTAAGTTTCTCTTTCAACATTTGAGCTGAACCGAAAAGCTCAAATATATACTATAATTTTTTTTTCTATGAATTACACACGATACTATAGACAAAGGGATGTAGAGAATGTATGAATACAGAAAAGAAGAAAAGGCCTTTAATGATAGAGCCTCAGGATTGAATCTAAATATTCATTTGAATAATGATCGATATAAGCTGTGCTAAACACCGGCTTACAATTACGCTACTACGCTCAATAAATTGCAAGCAAGTCTCCATTCATGAATCGATCATCAACGGTTCGGGGTGGTGTTGTCGATCGCGACAGAAGGTGCAGGTTTAGTAGGAGGTTAAGTGATCGTTTGTTCTCTTCATTTCAGATGCTGTCGAAATGTTCCTCTACCTGCAAATCTCGTCTCCATCTTTGTGGGCGGAGTGATTCTATTTCGTATCGCGTATCGTAAACTAAAAAAAAAAAAAAAAAAAAAAAACGGAACTACATAATCTGATAGACCTGATCAAAAAATTCTCTCTTTCAATCCAGATCACCTGGAATCACTTCGCTTTCTGGTACATGTGAAAAGAACAGAAGTTGTTCGCTACAGAAAAAGAAAATGGGGTAGATTAAGGATTAAATTGTGATTTAAAGGCTTAAAACCTACCACAAACCACGCACACACACAGACAGACAGACAGACAGATAGATAGATAGATAGATAGATATGTTAAAGCTTAAAATAAGCTAAAAGCTTAAAATATGGAATAAACTAGGGACTCAATGCAAAAATCATCAGAGCTTGAATTTAATATATTATAATAAAGGACTATTATACTATCTAGGTCACATCATGAGGAAAGACGTCTTGGAAAATTTAACACTCACAGAAAATTTTGAAAGCAAAAGGGGCAAAGGGAAAACAGCGCATACCCTCTGCCTAACGAGCTTTATGTAAATGAATAACAGAACAGGCTTTAGAAGAGATAGCAAAAAGACAAAATTTACTACAAAGGACAGGAAACTGGGGAGAGCCATGTCCGCCAATGTCCTTTAGAGACATGGCACATAAAAGTAGAAGGAGAAGATGAATCAAAATCCGTTACTCAGAGTTTCATACGGTTAGACAATCGAAACGAATCATTTTTTATCAGCCTGACGATTGTGTTACTGCATCAAATTCTAAGTATCGGATTTTGATTACCATCTTTTGTGAAAGTCATTTCGCATCTTAAGTTCTACGTAGCAACTCATATTCTTCACATAGTAAGAAAAAATATGGTAAAGTTGGAATAAAATTTGTTTGAACGAGGCTTACTCTTAATGATTAGGAAACAGCAATGGGTAAGAAAAAATCAAATGTAAGATAGAAAGATGAGATAGGCAGTCATTCTGATAACAGAGTATAGCATAGTCACGATTATAATTTTAGCGGTTTCGTAAGTATTTGTTTAGACTTGATTTCCAACAGCTACTAATATATATATATATATATATATATATATATATATATATATATATATATATATATATATTATTATTATAATAATAATAATAAATTAACTGATTTAAAATATGTTTTTTTTCGCTACACAGGAATTACCATGTTTCAAAAACCGAAGCTAAAAACTTCAAATTTAATTATATAATTAAATTAAAAAGCATTAGTTCTGTTTCATCTTCAAGCGAATTTTGGAAAATTAAAATTATTATAATTTATAATTAAATTTGAAGTTTTTAGTTTCGGTTTTTGAAACATGATAATTCCTGTGTAGCGAAAAAAACAAATTTTAAATCAGTTAATTTATAATATTTATGATCTGTAAAATTACGTTGAGCACTGTTTTGTAAAAATAAAAATATCAATAAGAACACCGGATTATATATCTTACTGTTCTTTCTTTTTATTATAATACATATATATATATATATATATATATATATATATATATATATATATATATATATATATACTTATTTATTTTTAATCCATTTTTATTACTTCATACGTTATTATAGTGGATATTCTATTCGAAATAGTCGCCCTATTTTTATTTTATTTTAAACAATGTGTATTAAAATAAAAGTCCAAAAATAGATGTAACACACGTTGTTTAAAATAAAAATAAAAATGAAGCGTCTATTTCAAATGCGAGTATCCACTATAATAAAGTAATATAAAAAATATGTGTGCAAAGTAATTATATGTGTGTGTGTGTGTGTGTGTGTGTGTGTGTGTTGAGAGTTAATAAAGAATTGACATTATATCAGCATAAAAAAGAAATATCATTGTTAGGGTTGATAAGGGGTGGGAAGTGTAACAGTTTTTACTGGTACTATTACCTGAGGGAAATGACGTACTTATGATAGAATGGTTTAGTTTACTCACTATCTTCTCCATTAACTATTGAAGTATCTCAGCAACCAGACATTTTTTATCGAGACATGTGGAGATAAAATGCCAGGAAGCGGATTCATGCCTTCCTCAAAGGTATTAATTAAGTAGAATTTGAATTTTGGTTTGTCCATTTTTTTCCTGCTAATAACAGTTAGTCTCCATCCCATTTTCAAATTGACCAATAAAATTACATTTACAGTTATTATTTTGTGACAAAAAAAAACCTCATTCGATATACAAAAGCGGGAAAACGATATATAATTGTTTTATATATTAAGAATAATTTTAGGGAAAAAACTCTGACAAGTCGGAGTAAATTTTCGTTTGACGCGTTTCGTCCTTTAAGAATTCATTAGACTAACGGGATGTTTATGTTAATGCGGCTACAAATACACACAAAGAAAATGGAAGGCTTAGAATTTAAAATTAAAATTTAATTTTTTTAATATATATTTTAATATATATGTTTGGGTAAATAGTCAAACCGATTTCATTTTGTTTCTTTTTCTTTCCATCGCTTTTGTTATTAAATATAACCACATTGTGATAAGAGATCTGTCAAGAAAGTCTTGACCGGCTGATCGGTTGAACTCTCTGCCTTCGGGCGGGGAGGAACCCGAACGAGGCTACGCTGAAGGGTGGATTCTCTTTCGGGGAGGTAAACCGACCCTGAACCCGTTTATACGGGTTCAATGGGCATATTTTTGGCCAAGCCCACGGGCTCGGAGATCCCACGTTTAAAAGGCCTTGTGCCACATGACGCCCCCGTGGTGGTGGGGGGGACTGAATATCGTCAAGAAAGGTGAAATGTAATAACCTGGACGTAAATTTACTCTAACGATTAAACCACTTTCTATACATTTCGGCCTTAGTAAATTACTTTCTCTTTTAATGAAAGAAGCATTTTAAAACCGAAACTATGGCCAGACTCATTACGGTGAGCAACTAATGCATTTAGTGTATTGTTTTGTAAAAGATCCCTTTTTTGTACATATAATCTTTTATTTAAATTTCTTGAAGTTTCTCCTATGTATTCTTTGTGGCAATTATTGATGGAATAATTTTCTCTTTCAACTTTTAGTTTTCTATTCTGTTTTGTATTAAGTCTTTTATTGTTTTAGAAATAGTTGTAACAAATTTTATGTTAAGCTTAGATATAGATATACATAGGATTTATTTTCCACCCCATAATGACAGATGTGATACATGCAGCAACTTTTGTTTTTAACGCTGGCCCTACTACTTTAAATGCAGTGGAGAGGTACTGTCTGTAAGACGGATCCTCTGGAACCAAAATCTCTCTCTCTCTCTCTCTCTCTCTCTCTCTCTCTCTCTCTCTCTCTATTTATCTATCTATCTATATCTCAATAACTCATCAACACAGACTCCTTACGAATTCAAAATGTGATATTGGAATAATATACAACACCTACGTGATATAAAAATCTAGTCTTCACTAGACCAAAACAGAGCAATATAAAATTTGATTCGGCCTATGAAAGCTAAAAAAAAAAAAAACAGATAAGTTTGATATTTTGCCAGCCTTTGATTCGACACTGTTTTTCGCCCCACGTTTGCATTTCCTTGGTGATATTTGACCGGATTATGGAGTAAACAAGTTGTTCGAACTTGGCAAATGTTATTTTTGTACCCAAGCAACAAGCACCTCTTTTAATAGTTTTAATTAATGTACGAGTATTGTTATTTATCTCGCTTTATCATTGGGCTTACGGCCATATCACGTTGAAACATCAGTTTCCGTACGATCACCGAAGTTAAGTAACGTCGAGCCTGGTCAGTACCTAGATGGGTGACCACTTGGAAATACCAGGTGCTGTAAATTGGAGGCGCGGATGGTGTAACGGATAATGGCTCTGAATTGTTAATCGGGGAGCCGAGTTCTAATTTTCAGTGGGGTTCGTTATAGTCACTTACGCAAATAACTCTGAGAGAGGTATAAATCCACCTCTTCTACACCCAGCTATTAGTTAATTAGTAAAACTTGTATCACTAAATCATAATTATCTCCTTCCCAAAAAGTCTTAGAATCTAAAGATATTTTCTGGCTTTAAATAACCTGTAAAGGGTTGATAAGCCGTAGAAAACGAATCAATCAAAGTCATTAGATAGATAGATACGAAAAAGGCTGAGAACAAGGCAGAGATGGACAGGTTGAGAAAGATAGATATGAACAGACGAAGATAGATAGATAAGTTGGTTTATCAAAGTATAAAGGCAAATCAAGCTCAGGAAGATTGTGTTTCGCCAATCTTCCAATTAAAAAGAAGCAGTCTACGTTAAAAATTAGCATTCGAAATGTCGACTTTTTATTGTATTCGATTATTGTTACACTGGCGCCGTGGCGGTTTTTGGAAATTTTCTCCCTCAACATTATTTGGGACAAAAATGGTTACTTTTGCAACATATAAGTGGGAATATAAAAGTAACGCTAATAGTGTACCATCTTGATAGTGAAGCAGATTAGATTCTTGCCTTAAGAATTATCTGTCATGATTGTTAACCATCTCTCGTCGTGGTACAATGGTTTGCACTCTTGTCTTTTATATCATTGCTACTCAATAATGAGTCCTCTGTTTTACTGGGTGACCGCTTGGGAATACCAACTGTTGTAATTCTTACGATCTAAAAATATTTCCTGGCTTTAAATAACCAGCAAAAGGTTGATAAGCCGTAAAAAACAAATCAATCTATTTTACTAGGTCTTGTAGATTTACGCCAAAACTAAGCTAAGTAAACACCGATACACACAAGCACACACGCTACACACACACACACACACACATATATATATATATATATATATATATATATATACAGGGTGTGATAAATTGTCGTCTAAATTACGCAAAAATGAAAATGACACTGATTTCTCATTTTAACAGATATATTTACCATAATTACACTTAAAAACTAAAGAATAAATTTATTCAATAAAATCGTCACTGGTTTCAACTACGGTCTCCACACGACTTCAGAATCTCCTGCAGCTCTTCTGGACGGTCTCCTTGTTTAAGTTGGTGAATGCTGCTATAATTCTTGCCTTCAGCTCATCTTTGGTGTTATAAGGAACTTTGTTGGTCTCTTGCTCAACTGCGCCCCACACATAATAATCAATGCGGTTGCAGTCTGAGGAGTTAGATGGCTAGATGTAAGGGGTAATGTGGTCACAGAAATTACCTGACAGCCATGACTAGGTTCTCCTGCTTTTGTGACATGGTGCAGAGTCCTGCCAGATATAGGTTTTCAGCAATCATCCTCTTAACCCAGAACAGCACTATGTCCTCAAGGCACTTGATGTAGGCCTTTCGTGTTGAATCTGAGGTACTGTGGGAAGATGAATGAAGGCATAACGTCACCATCACTAGTGATCACTCCAAAAACGATGATGTTGACTGGATATATCATCCAACTCTTTCCGAATCCTCTGCAGTGTTCTCAGATTGACACCCAAACACTTTGAAATGTGCGTATTGGAACTTCCGGCACGAATGCCAAGCAGTATAGCATGTCGTTTCCAAATTTGTGAATTGCGTCATGGTGTTTTTCTCATAGACGGTGCCCAAATGACTATATTATATTGTGCAGTGGACAAAATCAAAAACAAACAACGAGCATGCGCAAAATAAAAAATTAAGATGGCGATAATTTACCCATCACACGATGTGTATGCATATATATATATGTGTGTGTGTGAGTGTGTGTGTGAGTGTGTGTGTATCTTGAAAATCATACAAAGAACGAGGTTTTTTAACTGGTTTTAATCGCGTAATTATAGTGTGCTCAAACATTTGTTAATTAATGGTTATCAAGGAAGCAATTAGCTATACGTACACAATTGGGATGACTTCAAAATAATTGAAAAATTATATATCTCTATATCGGAGTATGATATATATATATATATATATATATATATATATATATATACTGTGAAATATATTATATATGTATGCTGAAATATTTTTTTAATCATTACACCCCAAACAAGGTGATAATGCCACTAGGGCGTATGTGTGGCACAGGGGGGTGAAAGAGAATGTGATGATTTTAGTGAGGAAAGGACAATAAAGGAAAAAAGTTCCAGAAAACAGAAGTTGGTGGAATGACGTTGTATCTAATTTTGAAGATTTTAAGTGGTGGGAAAGCAAGAAATCTGAAGGGAGCTCTTCGTATAAGAAGTGTGAGAAAATAAATTACTAGCAGAGAAGTGGCGATTACATCTCACCAGTTTAGCAGTAAAACGTTAAGACCTAGCTGCTAATCTAGTACCATGTTTAAATTCATATAGACGAGGCACTAGGGATAAAATCTTATCAGATCAGTTGCCATGAAAATATTTGTAGAAAAGACAGACGGGAGTCACGACAAGTCGGGGAGAAAGTGACTGAAGTCGAGAAGCCTGGTCAGGTTCGATTCCATTACAGATCCTTCTTTGGATTTTGTCCAGAATCTCTCGATGTACAACAGGGGCACCAAACCAAGTATTGCAGCAGTACTCAATGCACGGACAAATGGTAGACTTATAAATGTGAAAGATTGATTCTTACGAGAAAAATATTGAGGCCCGTCATTGTGAACAAAGTTTCTTGCAGTAGACACAGTAATCGCTCCACTTCATATCATTGGAAAACGTGAGCCCAGGAATGTTTAGGATGTTACGCTACTAGCGTTTAGCATCAGCCATTCTTATGACCAGCAGAAAAGGTTGTCTATGGTCATTAACTGAAATCAGGACGAATTACAAATGCGTTTGTTTTGGAGGCGTTAAAAGCCATTTCTTACCCCAGTTAATCACTGATTGGACGCCCTTTTCGAGTGTAGTTGCCAGGCTTACTTTGTTGGGCCTGTTAGACTTGTTAGTCAGACATGAGTAAATAGTTGTGTCATCTGCATAACTATCTTTTTAGGAACTGATGACACCTCGAAGATCATTGATGAAGATCAGAAACAGCGTGGGTCCAAGTATATCCCTGGGAGACCCAGAATGAACATTAAATCATCTGGAAGCCTACCCGTTCAACACGACCTTTGTTACACGACTTGTTAGGAACGATCGGAGTAAAACAAATATACGTCTCATGATACCGTAGCCCTTGAGTTTGCAGAGAAGACTCGCAGGTCAAACCCTGTCAAATGCCTTTGAGATATCTAGAGTCACAGCCCGACCCTCACCATTCTTGTCTAAAGTTTGATAGACAATTTCAGAGATGGCCGTTAACAAGTCGGCGATCAACCTGGCGAAACTGAAGCCATATTGTTGGTCCGAAATAAGACCGTGTGAAATAAGATGCGTAAGCAATTTGGCATGAATGTTGAAATATCACATATATACGACGAAATCGGATATATAAGTATAGTGAAGTATGTGTAAAATTCATATATGCTACCTTAATTAAAAGAGAAAGCCATTTACTAAAACGAAAATTTCATCGCTAGATCATCCACAATGAATTTACGTCCAGGTTCTTACATTTCACCTTTCCTGACAGATCTTCTATAACTATGTGGTTTATTTAATAACAAAAGCTATAAAAATACATAAACAGAAAGAAAAAGATACTAGACTATATACCGAAAACTATATAGTCTTTTATTTATTTTCTTTATTTAAAAGAAAAATTAATTTAAATTTAAAATTTCAGCGTCTCTTAGTTCGATGAATTCGCAAAGAACGAAACGGATCACACGAAAATTTTTTTCTACTTTGTTATAGATTTTCCTAAAATTGTTCTCGATATATAAAAATTACATATTGTTTATATATATATATATATATATATATATATATATATTATAATTATTTTCTTTTTTAAAAATATGATTCCATCGCAACACAGAAATTTCTGTTTCAAAACTGAAACTAAAGTTGTAAATTTAATTATCAAAATTAAACTTAAAATCCAGGGTTTCGTTCCATTGTCAAGCGATGTTAGGAAACACTGGATTTTAAGTTTAATTTTTATAATTAAATTTAAAACTTTAGTAAATAGACCGAAACGTCCGACGTTGACTTTATATTAACATTAATACAGCATAATTGCATATTAAGATTTTTGTTTGTTTTTTCTGTATATTTTTCTTCATACTGTCGGATCTATATCCATATATTTGCTTACATACTGTCTACTGGAAATACAAACCTGAATTTACTTTATAACCTGGAAGACTTCAAGCTTGTACGAAAATATAAGAATCTATTGATCAAGTAAGGAAAGGATTTATTATCGAACTGTTTTTAAAATTGTTCCATCGTTCTGATATTTTGAAATCATTTTTGATTTGCTTTGTAACGTGGAGGACTTCAAGCTTGTATGAAGATATAAGAACCTATTGATCTCTGCGTATTCCTATATCAACGGAAGGGATTTCTTGAACTGTTTATATAAAATAGTTCAATCGACTTTTTTAATATTTTAATATTTGGAAATCATCTTCGAATACGTTTTCACAACATCGCCCACGTGACGACGACGTGATCATATTTAAACGGAACGCTGATCTTATATAAAAATTTCAGTTATCTGTTTGGATTAGTTGTGCTCTTATGTCCATCGTCTTTTCGTGTTGAATTTTTATATGTTCTAATGTTAATTATGTTTAAATGAAAATGTCCTGAAGATGGTCTAAAATAGACCGAAACGTCCGACGTTGACTTTATATGAGCATTAATACAGCATAATTGCATATTAAGATTTTTGTTTGTTTTTTCTGTATATTTTTCTTCATATATATATATATATATATATATATTCAGTTGTATGGATATGAGTTTGTAACCCTGGGTTTCACGCTTTCGCGATCATCAGACACTCTCTCTCT